TTTGAAGTTTTTGTGAGGAGTTCATCACTTTCTTAGCTTGATGGGGAAGATTGTTGCACTTAAATCCTTTGGCAAGGGCCTTGTTATCGATAACAATTGGGTGAACCAATTCACCCTTATCTTCGGACTTTTCGTCTCTTCGGCGCCCGGAAACTCCTGAACGCCATTAATTTCCTGACTAATTGGATCGACACAGATCGATTGATTGTATCCATCACGAGAAACGTTCAATTTCCACCGATTTTCTGTCCTGGGAGGATTGTGATTGGCACTAACTTCTCATAACGCGAGAAATGTAATCAGCACCGTCAAATAATGCATTTCAACTGCAAACAGAATTACCTTCAATCTGAGACAGGAGAGAAATCTTTGAGTTGTTATATAGTATCTGATACAAACGTCATCCTTAATATATGTAGTGAGGTTTATGTGTGCATCATATTCCCATGTGCATATCACTGAAATCTATAGATTATATGGACTGGATTTATTAGGTTGCAAATGAAGATCCTTGAACTTTAAGCCTGCTGCTGATCTGAGATGACTAGCAATGGTTGGAAGTAGTCCTTTAACACCACGCGATCCTATAAATTGTCTTCATTCATTTAACATTACTCTTTAACATTAATTGGAGAAATTTGTGTTATATACTATAATAAGTCTAGGCCGGTAAAAGTAAGCCTATGATTGGACTTATATGCGTGTAATTGTACGTACCTCTACCCTACAACTTCCATACTTTGGGACAATACAGGCCTTCACATAACACATCATGTAGCAATAATCGAAAATATAACAATAAAAACTAAGCAATAAGTTGCAGTACATAGGACACGGTATTAACTCTTCTGCGAGTTGTTCATCTTACTGATATTCTTGCGGTTACCATTACGCAACTTATGAAGGCCTTACCTTTTTTACTGTGCAAGACACTCGTAACACGTTTTACTATTTTTAAATTAACTTACTGTTTTAGTTATATTTAGAAACTTATTAATTCCTCTGCCACACACTCTACCTATATAATCGATAGCCACCCGTAATGAGTGGAAATTAATTACCGGATCATATTTCTCAAAATAACTGAAATTTCACTGATCTATATATTAACTGGATAGTTATCCCTCCCAACACGATGTGACCATTTCAAGTGAGTACAGTACCTCTCATCACTGTCACATAAATTAAGTGCGTAATCAGCTGATTTAATTTGTTAGTACTTGCGCATACGTCGATGTCAGAGCGGCGTTAAAAAAAAAATCAGGAAATGCGGTAGAGTTTCACGTCAAATACATTTAGAGCCTGCGCAAATAGTCTGTAGGATTACTTGAAAAAAAAAATCACAGGAGCTTTTTTTTCGAATGCGCGCGTTACTAATGCCTCATTTGCATGCGTGTCAATCTGCTATGAAGTAAGTATACAGATCAATGTTAAATTCGTTCCCTTGCATCGTAAACATAAACTGAGAAAATTAAATTCATTTGTAAACGTAAATTTATTAACGTAGGTATTAGAAAAGCTGTAAACATCCCTCTTTCGAGGAATATCGAATTTATGTAGATAAATGTTTAATAACCATAACGTAACTGACGTTCTACAGGCTTTTATACAAAGGTATCGAACAACAATAGTTGAGTACAGTTGTCTAATTACTGTAAAATAAGAACCAGGTATCATGATTACGAGGACTCGTTAAAAACTGTCGACAATTTCTAGGATTTCTTTATTGCTGTTTTATGGTTTTTTCGGGATTTATTCGTTTTTGCAATAGCAACGAGAATATCTCCCTGAATGGCGCTTCAATAAATAGGTACATGACCAATGAAAAGAACAGTACAACTACGTGCTCTCCAATTTTGTCACTAACCTGAAAGTAACAATTAATATTAATTAAGTGAAATGAGGTGTTTCGAATGCAAACTTACCGATAAGAACGGATGAAATGTTGAAGGAGATCGATAATTTCCCATTGAAATGAACAAAACGGTCAAGTGAAACATAAAAAGGCAATAGCCTAGTCGGGAATGAAACTTGAAGAAATTGCTGCTCAGAAATCTGTTAAGAGTTCCTGGAAGATGAAATTTCGTGTCAATTGCAGAGAACAATCTGAGGAATAAAAATTGTCTCACATACTTGCGTAACCGTAATGACAGACGAAGATGAGCCAACAGGTTGACATGGCCCAGGCAGTTTTATTCAATGCTCCAAAAATAATGTGATTCCATTTATTAAATTCAATATCATATCGTACTATGACATAAACTCGTCCTATAGACCACCAGATAAAAGCCGCGAAAGTGCCCCAGCCAATTGCCAATTGAGTCTGAAAAGCGATACCTAATTAAAAGTGATTCATTATTTTCTCGAAGGTACTTACCTTTGATAAGGAGATTTGTTTATAACGATATATACAGTATCCGAGCAATAATCCCAGGATGTAAGGTGTCGCTCTGGTGTGACTAGGGTAGTAATAATACTCCAAGTGGTCTTTCCATTCCCCATTTCTGAAAGCCGAGATTTAATTTGGAAATTCACTGTTTAATCAATTAAGAGGAGTAATGCATTTTCTGGATTAGCCCACCCTGTTTGTAAGGTGAATGGGATGCCGACAAGACCGTAGGTGACTAAAATCGAAAATTGAAGCAGGATTGCGGCAATGATAACGACGATTGACAGCAATAGTCCTGCCTTAGGATTCTTCCATAAGGGGTAAATTAATAACGGCGACAGCATGTAATAATGCATGTCGGCGGATATATACCAAGTATGGGTGATACACTGAAAAAGAAGTAAGATCGAACGGATCGAATGTTTTTAAATAATTCGTAAATGTATAGTACCTTGTAAGATTCGTCGTCGGCGTAATTAATAAAGTGCAGAAGCACTTTCCACCAATTTATTTCGCAAGCTCTCATCTGTGGTAAGACGTAAGCCTCTCGATAAGGACCGGTGGACAATCTGTTAATAATCACCAGATGAAAGCCGATTGCGACGAGGATTAACGGCGTCAATTTTATGTATCTAATAACAAAACCCCTGATGTAATTAAACCTCCCACTTTCGAGGTGTGTGAGCATCGAATAAGCGCGATGTATTCCGCTCATTACGAAGAAGATGTCTACAATTGCGAAGGAATTCGATATCAGAATCGCTGCACGGTTTCTCTGCATCTGTTGAGCCAAGGATAACAGATCAGGATTAATGATTAAATTGCTCGTTAACTGTCGATTTATCGAAAATAATGCTTAGCACGTACATTAAAAATCGATGACATATTCGTTAATGGTAAACTTATCATCATCAATATTTGGTGACAGATCACAATAAGAACAGCTAATATCGCCTTTATACCGTCGAAGTATTCGATAGTTCCTGGGGGGTCACCCGAAATATCCATCAATCCCTTCCAGGATTTCTTCAAAGAAAATGCCTTGACGAATTGCCGTAATTCCCCAGAATCTATAAAAAAAAAAATCGACAGAAGAATTGAGAGTACCGCAAGTACGTCTTTTATATTTATTTATATATATTTAGGCTCGTCTCACCTGTCGCATCTTTTCTGTCAGGTTCTGAAGAACCATCCAGCCATGTTCCAATTATCACCAGAAATATCACAGAAACCATGACGGACCTGATAAGGAATATCGAGAAACATTTAGCTTGACGTCACTTTGACTCCTCCACCATTTCCCGGAGAGTACTTACAGAAAGACCCAGTCCCTCACGGAAAGCTCCATTGATGATCGATTAACATAACAATCTTTTGATAATACCCTCACTTGAACCCCGTAATCAGGAAACGCGTTATCAACAGCCTTTGCCAAAATGTCCTCCACTTCTTTGGGTCTGCAAGATGCCGGAAGGCAGACGGCCCACTCCATCTTCGAGAATACTGGTAATGGCAAATTCCCCTGTACAGGAAAAGCTCTTAAAATGATGATTTTACCTCCAAATGTTGAAAAGATAGTTTATGAAAATATCACGTTCTACTCTTTCTACCAGCTGATTTGAACCATCCTGATCAGAATCGATCTCTCACCGCGAATTCCACCTCCTCCTTGTCTATACGGCCGCAAGTTGCCTTCTGCAGGTATTCGTGCGCTTTGGGGTAATTTAATCGAAGCTTTTCCGTGTTGAATTTAATTGTCGATAAGCAGTACTGCGGTTTGCCATTCGAGGGGGGTTCCACTGAAAGACATTCATCGAAGTCGCCCAGGACTCTCAAGTTTCCCATAAGGATCCCGGAAGGGATTTTCGCCGAGGAGTCCATCACTGGAAAACCCCTCGATATTAGGATCCGCTTATTTTCATTGTTTTCGTTATTTCGATTTACCACTGACTTTGGACTGCCCATTCCGTCATGTTCTCCAGACCCTGGAGGTACTCCTCCACGTCTCTTCGGCATGTCGCACTTAAATCCTTCGGCAAGGGCCTTGTTATCGATAACAATTGGGTGAACCAATTCGCCCTTATCTTCGGACTTTTCGTGTCTTCGGCGCCCGGAAACTCCTGAACGCCATTCATTTCCTTACTAATTGGATCGACACTGATCGATTGATCGTATCCATCGCGAGAGACGTTCAATTTCCACCGATTTTCTGTGCTGGGTGGATTATGATTGGTACTAACTCCTGATAACGCGAGAATTGTAATCAGCACTGTCAAAGAACGCATTTCAACTGTAAAGAGAATTTTCTTCAGTCTGAGACAGGGGAGAAATCTTCGAGTTGTTATATAGTATCTGGTACAAAAGTCATCTATGATATATGTAGTGACATGTAGGTATGTATTGCATTTCCATATGCATATCACTCGAATCTAATAATAATTTATACTGTGTTGATTAGAATACAAATGAAGATCCTTGAACTTTAAGCCTGCTGCTGATCTGAGATGACTTTGTAATGGCTGGAAGTAGTTCTTTAACACCACGCGATCCTACAAATTGTCTTCATTCATTTAACATTACTCTTTAACGTTAATTGGAGAAATTTATGTTATATACCATAGTAAGTCTAGGCCGGTAAAAGTAAGACTATGATTGGACTTATATGCGTGTAATTGTACGTACCTCAACCCTACAGCTTCCATACTTTGGGACAATACAGACCTTCATGTAGCAATAATCGAAGGTAGAACAATAAAAACTAAGCAATAAGTTGTAGTACATAGGACACTGTATTAACTCTTCTGCGAGTTGTTCATCTTACTAATATTCTTGCGGTTACCATTACGCAACTTATGAAGGCCTTACCTTTTTTATTGTGCAAGACGTTCATAACACGTTTTATCATTTTAAAATTAACTTACTGTTTTACTAATACTTAGAAACTTATTAATTCTTCTGCCACACTCTCTACCTATATAATCGATAGCCACCCGTAATGAGTGAAAATTAATATATGAATAATAACCTAAGATCGTGTCGTGCAATGTTAAAAAAGATCCTGTGCGGCCCTCGACCGGTAAATATGGATGTTTCTTTGATATTTTTAACAATAATTGCCGAAATTCTACTGATCTATATATTAACTGGATATTTATCCCTCCCAACACGATGTGACTATTTTTTAAGGAATATCGAATTTGTGTAGATGAATGTTTAATAACCGTATCGTATTGACGTTCGACATGCTTCTATACAAAGGTATCGAAAAACTATAGTTGAGTACAGTTGTCTAATTACAATGAAATAAGAACGAGGTATCATGATTACGAGGACTCCTTAAAAACTCTCGACAATTTATGGGATTTCTTTATTGATGTTTTACGGTTTTTGCGGGATTTACTCGTTTTTGGAACAGCAACGAGAATATCTGCTTGCATGGCGCTTCAACAAATAGGTACATGACCAATGAAAACAACAGTATAATTATATGCTCTCCAATTTTGTCACTAACCTGAAAGTAACAATTAATATCAATTAAGTGAAATCAAGTGTTTCGAATGCAAACTTACCGATAAGAACGGATGAAATGTTGAAGGAGATCGATAATTTCCCATTGAAATGAACAAAACGGTCAAGTGAAACATAAAAAGGCAATAGCCTAGTCGGGAATGAAACTTGAAGAAATTGCTGCTCAGAAATCTGTTAAGAGTTCCTGGAAGATGAAATTTCGTGTCAATTGCAGAGAACAATCTGAGGAATAAAAATTGTCTCACATACTTGCGTAACCGTAATGACAGACGAAGATGAGCCAACAGGTTGACATGGCCCAGGCAGTTTTATTCAATGCTCCAAAAATAATGTGATTCCATTTATTAAATTCAATATCATATCGTACTATGACATAAACTCGTCCTATAGACCACCAGATAAAAGCCGCGAAAGTGCCCCAGCCAATTGCCAATTGAGTCTGAAAAGCGATACCTAATTAAAAGTGATTCATTATTTTCTCGAAGGTACTTACCTTTGATAAGGAGATTTGTTTATAACGATATATACAGTATCCGAGCAATAATCCTAGGATGTAAGGTGTCGCTCTGGTGTGACTAGGGTAGTAATAATACTCCAAGTGGTCTTTCCATTCCCCATTTCTGAAAGCCGAGATTTAATTTGGAAATTCACTGTTTAATCAATTAAGAGGAGTAATGCATTTTCTGAATTAGCCCACCCTGTTTGGAAGGTGAATGGGAGGCCGACAAGATCGTAGGTGACTAAAATCGAAAATTGAAGCAGGATTGCGGCAATGATAACGACGATTGACAGCAAAAGTCCTGCCTTAGGATTCTTCCATAAGGGGTAAATTAATAACGGCGACAGCATGTAATAATGCATGTCGGCGGATGTATACCAAGTATGGGCGATACACTGAAAAAGAAGGAAGATCGAACGGATCGGATGTTTTTTAATAATTCGTAAATGTATAGTACCTTGTAAGATTCGTCGTCGGCGTAGTTAATAAAGTGCAGAAGCACTTTCCACCAATTTATTTCGCAAGCTCTCATGTGTGGCACGACGTAAGTCTCTCGATAAGGACCGGTGGACAATCTGTTAATTATCACCAATTGAAAGCCGATTGCGACGACCATTAATGGCGTCAAATTTGTGTATCTCTTAACACAATCCTTGATATAATTAAAACTCCCCCTTCCTAGGTTTGCGATCATCGACTGAGTGCGAACTAATCCGCCGATTACAAAAAAGATGTCTACTATCAGGAAGGGATTCCATATCGTCCGTATTGAAGGATTTCTATATGCCTGTTGAGACGAGTGTAACAGATAAGAATTAATTATTAAATTGCTCGTTAACTGCCGAAATCTGGTAAATAATAATTAGCACGTGCATTGAAAATCCTTGACTTATTCGTGAGAGGTAGACTTGATGTCATGCTCATTTGGTGGAGGAGCACAATGAGGAAAGATGATATCGCTCGTAAACCATTAAGGCATTCGATCGTTCCTGGGGAGTCACTCGAAAGATCTGTCAACCCTTTCCAGGATTTTTTCAAAGAAAATGCCTTGACAAAACGTCCTAATCCCTCCGAATCTATTATAGAAAGAAATGGACATACAGAATTCGGGGTACCTCAAGCACGTCTTTTATATTAATTTATTTACATATATCTACGCTCGTCTCACCTGTCGCATCTCTTCTATCAGGTTCCGAAGAACCATCCAGCCATGTTCCAATTATCACCAGAAATATCACAGAAACCGAGACGGACCTGATAAGGAATATCGAGAAACATTTAACTTGACGTCACTTTGACTCCTCCACCATTTTCCAGACACTACTTACAGAAAGACCCAGTCCCTCATGGAAACCTCTATTGATGGTCGATTATCATGACAATTCTTTGGTTCCACGCTCACTTTAACCCCATTATCAGGATACACGTTTTCGACGGCTTTTGCCAAAATGTCCTCCACTTCTTTTGGCCCGCAAGATGCCGGGACACAGACGGCCCATTCTATCTTCGAGTACATTGATAGTGGCCAATTCCCCTGTACATGAAATGCTCTTAAAATGATGATTTTACCTCCAAATGTTGAAAAGGTAGTTTTTGAAAATATCACGTTCTACTCTTTCTACCAGCTGATTTGAACCATCCTGATCAGAATCGATCTCTCACCGTGAATTCCACCTCCTCCTTGCCTATACGGCCGCAAGTTGCCTTCTGCAGGTAATCGTGCACTTTGGGGTAATTTAATCGAAGCTTTTCCGTGTTGAATTTAATTGTCGATAAGCAGTACTGCGGTTTGACATTCGAGGGGGGTTCCACTGAAAGACATTCATCGAAGTCCCCCAGGACTCTCAAGTTTCCCATAAGGATCCCGGAAGGCATTTTCGCCGAGGAGTCCATCACTGGAAAATCCCTCGATATTAGGATCCCTTTATTTTCATTGTTTTCGTTATTTCGATTTACCACTGACTTTGGACTGCCCATTCCGTCATGTTCTCCAGACCCTGCAGGTACTCCTCCACGTCTCTTCGGCATGTCGCACTTAAATCCTTTGGCAAGGGCCTTGTTATCGATGACAATTGGGTGAACCAATTCACCCTTATCTTCGGACTTTTCGTGTCTTCGGCGCCCGGAAACTCCTGAACGCCATTAATTTCCTTACTAATTGGATCGACACAGATCGATTGATTGTATCCATCGCGAGAAACGTTCAATTTCCACCGATTTTCCGTGCTGGGTGGATTATGGTTGGTACTAACTCCTGATAACGCGAGAAATGTAATCAGCACCGTCAAATAATGCATTTCAACTGCAAAGAGAATTACCTTCATTCGGAGACAGGGGAGAAATCTTGAAGTTGTTATATAGTATCTGGACCAAAAGTCATCTTTAATATATGTAGTGACGTTTAGGTATGTATTGCATTCCCATATGCATATCACTGGAATCTAATAATTATTTATACTCTATTGATTAGAGTGCAAATGAAGATCCTTGAACTTTAAGCCTGCTGCTGATCTGCGATGACTTTTTAATGGCTGGAAATAGTTCTTTAGCACCCTGCGATCCTATAAATTATCTTCATTAATTTAACATTACTCATTAACCTTAATTGGAAAATTTATGTTACATATGTAGTCATTTATGTTAAATACGTTACTTCACGTAGCACGTCATGAAGCACTAATCGAAAGTAGAACATTAAAAATTAAGCAATAAGTTGTAGTACATAGGACACTGTATTAACTCTTCTGCGAGTTCGTCTTGCTATTATTCTTGCGATTACTATTACGCAACCTATGAAGGCCTTACCTTTTTTACTGTGCAAGACGTTTATAACACGTTTTACCATTTTAAAATTAATTTACCGTTTTACTTATATTTAGAAACTTGATAATTCTTCTGCCACGCTCTCTATCTATATAATCGATAGCCACCCGTAATGAGTGAAAATTAATTACCGAATCGTATTTCTCAAAATAACCTACGACCGCGTCATACACTGTTAAAAAAAAATCCTGTGCGGTCCTCGACCGGTAAATATGGATGTATCTTTGATATTTTTAACCATAATTGCCGAAATTCTACTGATCTATATATTAACTGGATATTTATCCCTCCCAACACGATGTGACTATTTTTCAAGGAATATCGAATTTGTGTAGATGAATGTTTAATAACCGTATCGTATTGACGGTCTACATGTTTTTATACAAAGGTATCGCACTTAAATCCTTTGGCAAGGGCCTTGTTATCGATGACAATTGGGCGAACCAATTCACCCTTATCTTCGGACTTTTCGTCTCTTCGGCGCCCGGAAACTCCTGAATGCCATTAATTTCCTGACTAATTGGATCGACCCTGATCGATTGATCGTATCCATCGCAAGAAACGTTGAATTTCCACCGACATCCTGTACTGGGAGGATTGTGATTGGCACTAACTCCTGATAACGCGAGAAATTTAATCAGCACCGTCAAATAATGCATTTCAACTGCAAGGAGAATTGCCTTCAATCTGAGACAGAGGAGAACTCTTTGTGTTATTATATAGTATCTGATACAAACGTCATCCTTTATGTATGTAGTGACGTGTAGGTGTGTATTGCATTCTCATCCATTAGGAAAAACATATCCCATAGAACAACCAGTTTTGTGCGTATGACTGCAGTACGATGATTTTTCCACAATGAATAGGTTACTTTGCAAATAATGATATCTGTGATAAGAGGCACTTAAACCTTACTGCAGAACTGAAGTTACTTAATTTGCAATTTCCGGAAGTAGTTCTAAAACACCACGCGATCCTCTAAATTGTCAAGTCCTTCTTTAGGACTTCCATATTTACGTGGTAAAATTTCAAATTACGTGATAAGCGTGTATATATTTGCCGCGAAACTCTACCGAGTATCTTGAAATAAAGTACACTATTTCAATGGCATAGAATTAAGGTTTACAGATATTGTATTCTTGCTCCGTAAATTGGACTTCTGAGAAATAATCAGAAATTACGTAGAGCAAAGGCCTCCCTTTTTTCGTAAAAACTGGAAATTTTTTAATTCCATTTCATTCAAGCCTATTTACCGGGAATGTATCACTAGGTATTACTCGAGGTAAAAAGAGACTCTAAAAACTACCGCACTATCTGTGGAACAGTGTTGTGAATTATTTCAAATAAAAAAAGCTAGATTACGTAAAAGGGTCTCCTTGATAAGAGGCATTTAAGACACGTGCTATAATTTGACACAATGGGGTCCACACACAAAAACACAATGGTCCTCGAAAACATCTTTATTCTTTTAACGAAAGGCGTGCCTGGTCAAATTAAAAAACGGAAGTTCTACACAAAGGTACAAAACCAAGGACGTGAAAAAGATGAAGACGAAGTCCCCTGTGAATTCTCGGATCTGTAACAGAAAGGGACGTTGAATTAATTTGGGTAAATCTTTTTGTGGTATTTTAATTATTTTTTTTTTTCAATGGTTTACTCACGGTTATATACATGTGAAGTTGCCTGGGTATCTGAAGTACTCCAACGTGGTACAAAAGAAGTGCCAAATGCGTCAGATAAACGGAGTAGCTTAATCTACCCGAATATCTGAACAATGTGCAAGAGAGAAATCTGTCTATGGCACCTGAAAGCCCAGATAGAAATTATTTATTATATATTATTTTTATGGGGCAGATAAAAGTAGAAAATTACGTAAACTGGAAAAACACTCGTTCTCCACTGTTTAATATGTTTTGATATCTTTATGATTGAAAATTATTATGCAATGGATTTCAAACATGAATACTTGTATATTAAAAATATGCCGTATACTTGTATACACAATTGTGTCGAATACAACTATGTACGGAATTTTGAAATATTGCATCTTGAAGAAACGTCATATAGAAGACGTATACTATACTTAGTATGGATATTCTTACCAGCGTTATCCATTGTACTTTTTTCACGCATATTAATACGTAATCTGTCTCGTATTTTCCATTCAATCTTTTAAATTTACGCCACCGAGTTTACGTAGTAACAGATATAAGCGAGAGAATGAGCGAGTGATAACGATTTATCCCAGGTCAACAGAAATCACTGATTAGGCGTTTCGTTATGTCAAAATGACATTATGGCGATAAACGAGCCAACTTACCACCATATCCAGTATGACAAGCATAAATGAGCCATGCTACGGCACAAGCCCATACAAATCTATGGAAACCACCATAGATTGCAGATTCCCAGACATTGTAGGTATGACCGACAGAAGTGATCTCCATGGCACCGTAAATGCAAGTATACATCGTGGCTAAAGACAAGGTCCAGCCAAAAATCACTTTGAGCTGTAAATAAAAATAAAACGTCCGATAAGAAAAATTGCCCACCTACTTTAGTACTGTAAATGATATTTTAAAGGACATACTTTACTCATGGTCACATTTTTACTGCCGTACAGGATGCTTCCCAAGAAAATCCCGATGATATAGGGAGAGGATCTGTTATGGGTTGCCATATAAACTCGATGACAGTATTCATTTAATACTGAATTCCTGTAAATAAAACATGCGTGTACGTATGAAATATTACAAAAGAATCGGTGCATGGCCGCATAGATTGGAAATGAAACTTCTATGCTAAAGAAAATGATTGTCGGTTATTCTTAACTTGTTCTTTGAAGAAGTGTCATTACACGTTGAGTACTGATTCGACCTGGCATAACGATATTAGCACATAAAGGTGATTACAAATAATTAACTGGAACTTCTTAAACGTGAATTTCTAATTAAATAACAAAAACGTGTAGGAAAATTGTGCCAGTACTGTTTCGCTTTTTCTTGCGCTTCCCTTCCTTATCATGATACGTATAGTACCGTGATAAGAGAAGTTTCACTTGGCAAGCATTGTTAGGTTTACAGAGATGGGTCTTACCGAACGGAGGGCACGTAAGTGCCGGGAAGTTCGTACAAGTACACTGTTAAGAATTGTGATAAAACCGAGAGGACCATTAGGAAAGCCGAGAGGAGTTTTCCGAAAAATCGCCACCTCCATAAAGGATAGACCAAGAAAGGTGCGGCCAAGAAGAGCTGCATATCTGCAGACAAGTACCAGGACTGCAGCATGCACTGGAAAATAAGAAAATTGCATCAAATTGGACATTCAATTTGCCTGATAAGAGGTCATGAAACGAACCATAAGGGCGCTGCTTATGAATCCTCATTTGTATCTCATATGTGCAGGACGCAATGACGAATGAAAAATACTTAAATATTAAACAAAGTTAAGTACATGCAATGTCTCAATGTTTGTCCGCATACATACGGCTAAATTAACCTGACGCATTGCTGATAAACAATTGCAACGTAGTTCATATCATAAATTATCCATACATTTTCAGTTCATAAATGTCGGTTCCGTCATAACTGACGTACGACTCTAGTATGCGGTGAATATATTGCTACAGCAATTTATGACAAAATTTACCGCGAACGTTTCTTCCAAATTTATTCTGCAATATGCGTACTTACATTGCAGACATTTCATGCAGGAAATTTTTTATAAATCGATTCTCCAAATCATATGATGATCATGAATCTCTATCTGGGAAGTTGCAAGTTCGAGGTCAGTACTTCTTCCGTCGTGTTAACGTCGTTCAATGTCGATTATTGCATTGTAATAATTGTTTATCCCCGGTACTTTTTGCCAAAGACGTGAAGCCTCATCACCTTGTAGTTATGAGATGCGTAATTATTGATGTACAATAGGTTTTGCCACCAATATTGCCTGCACGCCTCGCTGTTTCTTGTGACGTAGTAGTTCCAAGCCGGACCGCTGTCAAGGCGTTCGAAGATCGTCATGTAGAAGAGGATCACGAAGAGATATGCCGGTGTCAGTCTCATGTATCTCTGGACACAGGACCAAAAGATCCTGAAACGATCCTTTCCGAGATCCTTCATCACGTTGTAGGACCTTAGGAGCCCACTAACCAGGAGAAACGTGTCCACGTTGAAGTAGCTGTTCCACAGCAGATAGTAGACATAGTTATTGTGCGTCTGCAATAAATAATAAAACATTGTACAATGTACGTAGAATATCTAAGTTTAGTAGTTCTTGAATTAATTTTCAATTTAAGTAGTTCTTGCAGCGGCATTAGACATTTTTTTAAACTCCGACACTACTCGAGTCGAAATTTTAGTCTTATTTTAAACCTAAGTAAGACCTATTTTGGGCATGTTTCGCTTTTTTAAGTCCTACTATCAACATTGTCCTATTTAAAGTGATATGAAAGGGTCACTTTATACATTTTTTCCCATTTATCAGAATTTTCCAAATTTCAATTCGCTCGGTTTTCTTTCGTTTCATGTATCATTTATCTTCTTGCTGTCAGTGAACAAAATATTAATTAAAATATTAAACGTATCGGCGAAGAAAGACCAAAGAATTCATTTTCTGCGCAGAAGAATATCTGCACCAAATGTAACTGAATCATTATCCACTGGCAATCATCGCGATAATTGTATAATGATGGTACAAGCTTGTTCTTGGCGTAGAAAAAAAAAACATTTCAGCGGCATTTTCGACCTATCAGAATTTCATTCCATCGATTACGATCTGTAATAGTCCGTGGAATCCATACTCGGTGATGCTGTCCTGTAATTATGCAAATGCAAATTGATGTTGTCTCTAGGAAGTACCTTACTCCAACCATGCGTAAAGAACGAAAAGTGGCTTCTACGTTTGCCAGAGTTTTTCCACTGTATTTTCTTTTTTTTTCATATTTCGTTTTATTGCTATTCCCGGCTCTACGTACCCGAAAAGTTTCCATCTTATTAGCATATGGCGATTGGCTGATCAGAACGAATTGGTGCGTCATCACGACCCATATAGTCGAGAGAGATCGAACTCCATCGAGGCAGGTGATCGAATCTCGAGGTTGAACCTCCAGGTCGACCAGTCTCCTCCAGTTCTCCAGCAAAGAGAAGGAAGAGCAAAAACGACTGACAGGACTCTTCATTTCTTCAAAAAGAAAAAGAAACATTTAAAAGTGCATTTTTTCCATTTTTTTCATCTTTCAGAAATCAAGCTCCTTACTTTCTGCCCCGGCGACGTAGAAGTAAATTGTCGAGGTCAAGATTACGAGCACCAGTGCCAGGAAAATTGCGCTGAAAGAATATTGCGATGAAACAGATTTTATTAATGATTATTAATTATTAATGCATTTTTTTCCTCGCAAACGCCCTTACGCATTCGGTACTGCTGACTTTGGGCGTAATTATTTAATATTTGTTTATGGTACTTTTATTTCACTTCATGTGTCAGTAATCAAAGTCAGAGAGGACGCAATAACAAAAGCGTTTACGTATTAATTGAAGGACATACATGACTGATGCACTTGGCTTTGTGCTTTGATTTCAGTATTTTTTGTAGGGAGAAGCATAATGTGGATCTAAATACTGTTTTTTGTTTTTCAAAGTGGGGATTCGCAACGACCATGTGCAATGGCGGACATGAATGCCTTCCCTGCAGATACGGCATCGCCTGTGCACGATGGGAGGGCATTGATGTCTCCCAGTGTACTTGGCGAGGTTTTTTTACACGGAGGTGGGTTTGTAGGGGATTAAAGGACATACATGACGAAGAAGTCCAGGATCTCGAGAGGCCTTCCAGAAGATCTCGTGTAACATCTGCTGTCATCCAACATCACTGTAATGTTCATTCCGGTGTCAGAAGTCATGCGACTAATTGCGACCAAGCCCAACTTGCGGGCGTCCTCGGAAGAGCAAGTGGAGGGAAGGCAAAGGGCATACTCTCCGAAGGAATAAATAGGTAATACGTGAGTACCCTGATGACAATCCAAAGTGAAGGTATGAAATGTGAGATAATAAATTTTTTTTACCGGAAAAAAATAATTATTTATCCAGAGGCTTACCTCCAGCCAGTCCTCGCCGATTTCCAGGGGCCTTCTACTGGCGGTCACGATGTCGATTAATTTTTCCAAATGCTCAAGATTTTCCCCGAATGTGGAAAACTCCAGCTTCAGCAGGCAGTACTTCCCGTGGTGTTTCCCCTCAGGGTGGCGAAGTCTGACACATTGGTCGAAATTTCCCAGTAGACGTATGTTTCCCGAAAAAGCTCCCGATGGGAACTTCGAGCTCGCGTCCATCACTTGAAGGAAATTCGTCGACATTTTTACAGGACTCTTAAACGCTATTGCAGGTAATTTTTTGGTTTTCCATTGTTTGTACTAACTGCTTACGGCCCATGTTTCCAGGTGTTTAAGCTCCTGCAGGTACTCCAGAACGTGGCCTCTGCAGATCTCGCCGAGTCCCTCGGGAATCGGGTCCATGTAAGATGTCACCTGAGTTACCCAATCCAATTGTCGAGTACTTCTTCCGGATGTGACGGTGAAACTTGCCATAAGTATTACGCATAATTTCGATAGGATTTCCATTCGACTCTTTCCTGCAAAGAAAGTGACTTTAGCTGTTCGCTCTCCCTTTCTTTGAAAATCGCTTCGGGCGATCAAAGTAGTTTCGCCTCGAGACTTCAATCTAGGATTACATAATTTCCTTGATAATTAATTGAGAAAAAATGTATAATCTCCTCCTTTCGCCTTTGAATCAGACTTATGTAATTCCTTGATACATTAATTTATAAAGTTATTAAACCTTCTCTCTGAAATTCCTAGATGATGATGCATAAGTAGATAATCTGGGAGATGAAACTAAAACTAAACTAACTAAAGTCTGATGATAATTTATTCATTTTCCGATATTCCCTGAGAGCGAAAACAATCATTTCGTATCGTAAAATAGCATGCAAAGTAGGCTTGCAAGATATTTAAACCATTCGCAAATGTCTATTAACCATTCTCTGATAAAGATAGCTAAAAGGAATAAAAATCTGATAATAAACCATTACTCCAAGATTTGGCGAAATCGAGAAATAATTTAGCATTCCGAAACTTGGAAAATAGACGCAAAACATTTGGGACGAAAATAACTATTATCGGATAAAAGGAAGGTAATGGGACTAAAAATTCGATAATAAATGACTAATCCAAGATTTCGTTAAGCCTAAAAATAACTTTGTATTCTCGGAAAATAGATTCAAAAAAACTCGGGACGTAAAAATGACCGTCTAAAATTAATGAGAAATCGCGAAGTAGGGGAAAAAGAAGCGTCCATTGTTGGCCGGTTGTGACCACAGATCGTTTTGAGCGACAAATGGAGAAATAGGTAAAATAGAGAAGTGGCAAAAAAGGAGTGTCCAGGTCACTCGCAGAGCACAGTCACTATGGCACAGGTAACTTTCGCTTTCTAGCAAACGAGTCCTAAGAATTTCTACGTAACGTGGATCCGCCGATTTACGCCGACTCCCCTTTCGATCTCATCTGAAACCTGTTGAGCGAGTTAACAAACGTGTAAACGTTGCAGGTTTACCAAGCCGCTCATCGCACTCTTGGATCCAGGTTGACCAATCCAGGTGACATTCGATTTACAATTACGATGTCGCACCGATGACGCGTCATTGTCATGGAACGGTGTTTCTTGTTTTCGGACTTCGATTTTCAGGAAACTTCTCGGTACTCGCATCCTGATTACGCAAAACCGTCTAACACGTTTTCAAGTTAATCGAAATCGCATTCAGATGCGACAAGAAGATATTTCAAGGAAAAAAAGTGAAGATAAGTACAGTGAGAAAAAAAAAATTCATTGAGCCGAAGAAGCGTTTCTTTGAATGGTTCAAGTGAATCGAAATCTCCTTCAAATGCGACAAGATAATTAAAGGAAAATAATAAAGATAAGTACACTGAGAGAAGATTCATCGAACCAAAGGATTTCATTTTTCTGCATTTATCCCGGACAAGCGCCAAAAAATGAAATTTTCTTCGAAAAACAAAATTACGCAAAACCGTCTAACGCGTTTTCGAGTGAACTGAAATCCCATTCAGATGGACAAGATAATTAAAGGAAAATAATAAAGATAAGTAGACCGAGAGAGGATTCATCGAACCAAAGAATTTCATTTTTCTGCATTTATCCCGGACAAGCGCCAAAGAATGAAATTTTCTTCTATAAAAAAGATTTCATGAGTTTCAAGAGCTGCATAAAAATTGCGTGTTAAAGTGTGAAATTATTCCGTGCCAGCCAGTTTGAAGAAAAGTTTAATAAATACCTTCACGTTCCGATATACATATACAGAATGACTCATTCATATCACCGTGAGAAGTTTTATATCAAAGAGCTTGAAAAAAAAAATTCATTTCAAGCAAGTCTGTTTAATTTTATGTGCGTAAAGAATTTCTAATGCTTATGGATAGCGTGTGAAAAGGTTTAGAGACGGACTTTTCATGATTCTGAATTTTTTTGCGTAATTTTTCCAAGTACCTCGACGCCCGAGGAAACATTTGCGTCGACGCGTTAAGAGCAATTGTCTATTTGCACTTTTTCACAATTATTTATGCAAGGGGCCCCGAAAGGCAAACTCACGTCAGACTTGTGGGAGAAGGAGGGTGTCCTCTTCTTTTTCGAATATTTCCGCTCGCCAAGGTGCCTCTTGGTCTCCTCCAAAAGGACGGCTGCAGTCCGTTGCACTTGTCGGCGTATCTTGAAAATGTCACCAGCCGAACTAGCCGCGCCACGGAAGAGACATTGCAAAATTCGCTGAGCGTAGCACATTTTGCCAATTCGTGGCGAACAGGGGCGAACAGCTTAGGCCGATAAGAAGTGCACCGACGAGTGACGACCCAGCGTTAAAAAACGCAAAATCAGACGCACCTTTGTTGAGGAGAGTTAAATAAACGAGGACATTCGGCGCGGGTTGAAAAAAAAGAAAAGAAAGAAAAAAAAAGAGATTCCGGGAAGCGCGACTTGTTGAGATGCAAATTCGCCGGGACGACTTAAACTTTTTCCATTCCTCCTCGACTTATTCGACGAGGAGTTTTGGGACGATTCCACGATCGCTAATTTATGCCACGTGACTACGCGTCATCTGTGGTTTAGTTAATTTTTTTCCTTGTCCGCGGGTTCTCGGCGATAAATGTTAGAAATTCATTTAGGGAATCGGGGGAATTATTAAAGTCGAACTATGACAGAAATGCGGCCTTTGTGTTTCAGCAAGAATGAGACACAAGCTTATAATCTTTAATGAGAGATCATTTTCAGGAAGTGGGACGATTCGAAATATGGTTTTCAAATTACCTCCTAATAAGGGAGAAAAGTTGCAATTATTGAAAAAAATTGTCAAACTTCTTCTCTTTTCTAGTTTCCAAACCACCTCAGCTTTTCATTTTAATTATATTTTCCAGGAGTCATATCTTAAAAAAAAGTCATACATGTCCAGCCTCCCTAAATCTGCCATTTTAAAAAATTTGAAAACCTGTCTTACATTAAATTATCCATCAGACATGAACTAAAACAGCCCCGTAAGCAAATATTTCCCACACAACATCATTTCTCCTAAACTCGCTCCGATTAAACCGCATTTCACAGCCCACTAACTCCATTAAATCTGACACAACACGAAGTAATTAACTAACAAACTGGGGTTAATCAAGAACAAATAACGGAAACATTATTATAAAAATACATTATTGGGTATCCCTAAAACATAGTTGCATTAAAATATTCCTTGAGGAAGACTAGTGAAGAATTTTGGAGAGCCAAGAAGAGAGGAACCCGATCCTTGGACCCGCCCCACGGGAGGCCAAGAAAGGACCTTCTTTCCCCCATGTCCAGAGAAACCGGAAACGCAATACCGACGCATCAAGCAAATGCGTAGACCTGATAATCGCAACGGTGGAGAGGTCGACAGGTTTAGCTCGGAATGGGAGAGAGGAAAAAGGATGAATTCCTTCGAAAGACCAGTTCACCCCACCGCGTCGGATTAAAACTCCTTTCCCTTAATCGGCGGCGCAGGATCCAGGGGAAAGGAGCAATCGGCGAGCCCGTCCCAGGGGAAAGTGGACGTCCATTGGAGACCCATCAAGCCCCGGCAAGAATCATTGCTGGATACGTCGGCGCAATTCCGCCGAAACTGCTGACTCGCCGAAAAGCCACGGCGAACGCACGAGTAGCGCGTTTTGGGGCCGAGTTATCAGCCGCGAGTGATTCCGCCTCCAGTGACACCGATTTCGACGTCTTCGAGTCCTTGGGAAGGAAACCAGGCCCGACTTGACCGACAGGTCTCATCCTGGGACCGGAAGGAGCAAGTGCCGACCCGGAAGAGGACTGGACTTCCCGGCGCCGGAGGTGCGACTCGGCCAAGAAGTTCCGAAATCCGGCTGTCGCCGCAGGTGTCGTCACCGGTGACGCAAAGAAATCCCAAATATTATCTTTCGACGTCAAAAAACGAGTCTCGGAAGTCCTCAGGAATGGCACCCTGAAGAGACAGTCGCGGAGGAGTCGGAGGAGCGCGCGGATGCCGACTGGCGCAGCCTCCGCGGGCGGTCAGCTGATTTTGACAGCTCGGTCACGTGACGGCCCACGTGGTCCTGGACCTCTCCCTCGGGTTTCCCTGGATCTCCGGCCAGAAGAGTGATGTCTAGGTACTAGGACAAGGAAACCGGGAAAAGTATAAATAATTAGATTGGGTGAAGTAATATCGAGTATAATGGCGCAAGAAGAGGGGTGATATCGCCTGAAATCTCCGGGGAAACGTCCAGGAAAAGGAGTCGCAGGATCGGCTAAAGACCAATCATCGTGCTCGGTTTTCTCGTGGAGGTAGAACACCCTGAAGAAGATGTCGCTGGGTATTTATCCAGAGATTTGTTTGTTCGGCCGTTTTATTTAATCTCTGTCTATCGATTGAACTATTGGAGGGGTTGAAGAGGATATTTGGTGGTCGGTCAAAATGGCGAACTTGGTACTTGTTGCGACCGTCCTGGCTGTGCCGGGGATTTTCGCGGACAGTAAGAACATCCTGAAGATCGACTCTCCTACGATGGTTCGCCAGATGGACTCCGGCATGACCTATGACAATTATTATGAGAACATGTTGCCTCTGCTCTCGAGGGATCTGAGTCTTATGGAACAGGCTATCGGCATGATCGAAGACAGCACCTGCAGGGACCACTGTCAGATGATTCTTCAGGGTCTGCATAATTTAACTGCTTGGTCTGTCAAGTTTTATGACGCCTCTGGGAAGTTCCCTGTGGGAGTGCTGGGGGGGTCCGTGTACGAGCTGGGGAACTTCGACGAATGCCTTGGTATCGGGGGTGATAACGACCCTGAAGATGCCCCTGAAGGAGTCAGGTACAGTTCTGAATGCGATCCAAGGAGGATGACAAAATACCGGAAAAATTACGGCACCCTCTTGTGACATAGTACTCGAAATGCGGTTTCGGCTTAACGTGCATTGTTAACAATTTTTAAATATTTTGAGCCCCGTCGAACACAAATGTTCAATATATCATGAAGAACATGTATTATTTAGATCATATATTTCTACGGGAGAATTTATATAACTGTATTGAATTTTTTGGAAACATGAGTAAAGGAATCGGTACAGATGTTATTAAATGTAGCATGACGCGCGTACTCAAAATACATGCAATTGTGTATGTGTATGTGATCGAAAACCAGTATATAAAAGTATTAGAGTTGTACACATGTCTTATGACTGTCGTACACTCGTATATGTACTTCCATTCTCAATTGTATGAAAGGTTATTTTACAAAAGGTTTCGAAATGGAATATACATGCCCTCTGAAATTCATGTACTTGAATACTGAAATTTTGAAATGTTAACTAGATGTAGATTATATTTCGAAAAGATTTTATTAACGGCGTATAAATGGCTTTTTATAAATTCTCAATAAACTTTTCGTAAATTCCTGATAAGTTTTCCAGAAAAGTTCTCGAGAAATTTTCGCACGATCGGTGGCAAATAATTTTTTTCGTTACTTTCTACTGTTTAACATTAATTTCCGAACTTTGGGGTCAGGGGTCAGTATTGCCTCGGGGAAGTCGGAGTTAACGCCCCCGAGGTCTACTTGAACCAGAACGACTCCATGTGGAGGTACTTCAAGGACACCGGGAAACGTTATCACGAGTTTATCTCGAAGCTCTACTGGGGTATCTGCGTCCCAGCTTCCTGCTCCTCGAAGGACGTCGAAGACGTCATCAGAAGAGTCCTTGCAGTGGCTTTCAGCGGGTCCAGACTGAAACTCTCCCCAAGGATTCCTGAGAAATCCTGCTACAAACACGAAGACACCCCTGTAGACGGGGCCGATGTGACATACCTGTAAGTAATGTCCATAATCCATTACAAGGACCTAAACAGTAATATTTATTATAAACGAAAAAAAAAAAATAGCTGCTTTTTGGAAGTGAAACTTCTAGAGAATTATTCAAATGAAGCATCTTATGGAACGGTAGTACAGAGAAAGTTCCGCTTAAAAAAGTGAAGTGCCTCTTTCTGCGGTTAATTACCACTCATATTCATTTTATCTCTTGGCATTAACACTATTTGTTTTTACATTTTCCTTAGTGTTACTTAAACTCAATTTGTTGTCTTAGAAATCACGTATCGATTTCTTTTCCATCAATCTGAATTATTCTGTGATGTATGAAATTTCGATGGAAAATTGGAAAAATCGGAGAAAAGATCGAGTGGAATTTTTCTGTTGGAAGGAATCGGGATGGGAAAGTTAATGAAACTAATTTGGATTTCAGGGTGTTTATTGTGGGAGTCGCAACTCTTAGTCTCATGGGCACGATTTATCACATCTTGTGTCTGAGAAATCGAGGAGAGGTCCACAAAGGGTTGATGCCGCAAATCCTCCTGCTGTTTTCCATGCTCTCGAACACGATGAAGTTGTTGGGCCCGGCGAACAAGGACGAGCTTAACCTGGACTGCATATACGGAATCAGATTCATCTCGATGGCGCTGATAATATGCGGCCACGTCATCATCTTCGTCGTAGGTGGGCCCATGATGAACCGAAATTTCCTGGACGAGGTAAGAGCCGCAAGTAGGGCTGCAAGTCGGGGAATTAACTGGGATTTCAGAGTAATCGTTTCAGGCCGTGCCCCGGGTGGAGAACTCCATCTTCGTGAACAACGCCCTGCTGGTCGACACCTTCCTCTTCATCAGCGGTTTCCTCTTCAGCAGGCTCCTCCTGAAGGAGCTTGACAGAAGGAAATCTATAAACTTCGTCGTGGTGTACCTGTACAGGTTCCTGAGGTTCGTCTTTGCCCTCCCTAAGACCCTAGTAGCACAAAATATTTCTCCTATATTTTCTATATATTTAACGAATATTCGTTCTTTTTCTTTTTTTTTTGCGTATGTGATAACGAGAGATTTTATCTTACTCGGTTTAGATTGACCCCGGCTTATTTGGTGGTCGTTGGACTTTATGTCACCTGGTTGAACCGATTGGATGCTGGACCCCTCTGGTCAAGGATGATCACCGAGAGGGAGAGATGCCGCACTTCCTGGTGGGCGAACATCCTCTACATCAACAATTACGTTAGCACTGATAATATTGTAAGGAATATTCCCGAAGTAATATATAATTATTGAGGTTGATAAGCACATTGGACATGGCCAGGCCAATACAATCAGAAAGAAGTCAACTTCATCCTAAATCTGCACAAACGTGAGGAAAGAGTAATCCCTGGTAACGCGGAATTTATTTCCGCTCACCTGAAGGTCGGTAATTATTTCCGAACATACATTACTTACGCCTGCATCATTAGCTCTGTTTATATCGTCATCCCACTCATAACCGATGCCACAGAATATTCTAAACTGGATCAGAGCAGCTCCAGGATGACTTATGGCTGACCGGTCCTTCTTCATGGTTTCAGTGCATGTTCCAATCCTGGTACCTAGCAGCAGACACGCAGCTCTTCATCCTCGCCCCTCTGGTGGTTTATCCCCTCTGGAGGTGGAGAAAATGGGGAGAACACATCCTGGCGACTGTCATCAGCGTATCCTTCTTGACACCGTTCATCGACACCCTGGTGAACGCTCGGGACCCAACCATGATGGCCTACACCTCGTAAGGATCAGAACTGCTGATGAGAATAAAAAAAAGATCCTGCAATTTTTTCCTAGTAATGTTTGATAACGTTTCATTTTTTATCTCGCCAGGGAATTAAAGGACCTAACAAGGAACCAATATTATACCGCGAGTTACATCAAGACTCACATCAAAGCAATGGCCTACGTCTTCGGATTGGCTTTCGGGTACATCCTGTACCGCGTGCAGACATCAGGATACACCTTCAGCAAGGTGACGGTCCAATTCGATGAGCCAATTAATTTCATACCTCATCTAACCGTGGTTAACGATTTTTACCGCTCTTTCAGAACGCAGTGAGGTGCGGCTGGTTGATGGGCACGACTTTGTTACTGGCGGCCATGTTCTCCATCAGCCTGTTTTACGGACCTCGGAAATATTTCACGAGCATAGAGGCTGCCTTCTTCGCCTCCTTGCACAGGGCCTTCTGGTCCATTGGTACAGGATGGGTGCTGATAGCTTGCATTACCAATAACGCGGGTAATCCACTTTTTACGAGCCAGGAAAGGTCGCTATCAGAGCGCACTCTGTTTATGAAAGTTCGTTTACGTAGCGGGGATTTCTTAAGGAATTAAGTATAAACGAGGAATTAAAGGAACATCGTCTTCAGGACCAGTAGGTAACATCCTGAAGTGGAGAGCCTTCGTGCCCCTGAGTCGACTGACCTACTGTGCCTACCTGGTGAACGGACTCGTCGAATTGCACGCGATTTCGACTATCAGGTCCCCGGAGTACCTAAGCAAATATGCCCTGGTCAGTAGACACGTCCAAGGTGAATTAAATATAAATCCATAATTAATTGTAACATTGTTCAGATGGGCAAAATGTTCTCCCACATGTCGGTGACCTTCCTGATGGCCATGGTCCTGTCGGTGATCTTCGAATCGCCCATCATCGCCCTGGAGAAGCTGCTACTTCGCGAGGGTACCTATCAATGCGTGTAAAGATGGTTGGTTAAAGGAAAGGAATGATTTGTATTACGTCTCCACAGAGAAGAAGAGGCGCTCCCACCAGAAGGAGCAGAAAACGGAAGAGACGAGCTCGACGACGGCCTGAATCGTCGGAAATGGCAGAGTCTCTAGAAGCGTTGGAGAGGAAAGAAAAGGCGAGAGGCGTTCTTCTTCCAGAAATTTATTAGCCTAGAAGAGTACGTTAACAGACACTCCGTTCCTCAGAGCCCTCATCGGGCTGCCGGAAGCTCTTCTCAGAAGAAGACCAGTCTTCCCGGTCGGGATTCCGGGATCCAGGGTGACCTGGGCCGCGAGACCTCCTGGGCCGCGTTCTCCGGATCGTCCTTGAAGCTTTTGCTCGGCGCTTTCCGTCTCCTTCGCCCTTCAGGTTTCCTCTTGTTCCCAGTTCCAACTAGTCTCCCTGAACCGCCTCCTCTGGTGCTGAGCGCTGGAGGATTGGTCGTCATCAGTGGACCCCTCGAGGTTCGAGGACCTCTCCTCGGTGCTCGACCTGGACCTTGAAGAAGCCTCTTCAGGGTCGGGACGAGCGACCTCCGCGACGCCGACTTCTTCCCCGGCGACGTCCTCGTCCGTGGACTGTCCTCCGGCAGGTTTCCTCTTCTCTCCTTCTTCCTTCCTCGACGAGGACGCCCCTTCAGGGTGCTGCTTGTCTTCGGACTTCCCGGTCAGCCCTGAAGAGCCGTCCTCCTCGGAGCGCGACTTCTGCAGCTGCCAGGCTTTCTTAAACGGATGCTCCTGCTCCTGCTCCATCAGCTTCGGTCTTTCCGGCAGGAGGAACTCAGGGTCCTCTTCGCTGGCCTGGCTCTTGATAATGGACTCTCTCTTGAAGAGCCCCGAGGGAGGTCTAGGCGTGGACTCTGATATCTCCTCTCTGACCAGGTTCCATCCGGAATCCATCTCTTCCTCCATTTCCTCCTCTATCTCTGGCTCCTCTCTCGACAGCCTGCTCAGATCTCGAAGAGACACCTTCTTGCTCTCTTTCTTCAGCACGAAGTCGTAGGTGGAGACGTCGTCGTCGTCCTCGGTGGAGGTGATCTGGCTACCGGTTAAGGATCTTCTCCTGGCTTCGGGTTCCCAGGTCTCCTCCCCCTGGACGTCTTCCCGTAACGGTGGACCCTTTTCCCTGTAGCTTCTTTCTCGGGGACTGTAGGGGTCCTCGTCTTCGGGTTCGCTGGGCTCCAAGGACGAACCTTGAGGAGGTCCCCTCGGCACCCTGCTGATGGTCCACGTGTCGAGGCCGCTTATTTCATCGGTGTCTTTCAGCAGAGCGATCTTCCCCTCTGCTGATGATCTTCTCCTCAGGTTCCAGTGGTCCTCTTCGGGTCTGGCCTCGTGTTCCCTGGAGAGCTTCTCGGCGAGCCTCCGTTCCCTTAATTTTAATTCCTGCTCCCAGTTCTCCTCGTCGCTGACCCTGGGCTCCTCGGACGACTGCTTCCTCTCTACTCTAGGTCGTCTCCTCGAAGAGGTCTCCTCTTCAGACCCTGAAGAGACCGTCCTCCTCGGTTCCACGGACCTCGACAGTCGCGGAGATCTCGACTGTTGACTCTCTGTGGACTTCACCGAGGACCTGTTGCTTTCGGGACCTCTGGAGACGGACCTCTCTCGTCTCACGAACTCCCAGGAAGGCGTCTCCTCAGGGTCTCTAGGAGCCGGCATTCTTCCTCTAGACTCCGACCTCTCTCTTCTGTGCACCTGCCGATTCTTCGAGTCTTCCAGTTCCCTCGAATAAGGTCTTCTGCTCTCTAAAGACGATCTCGTCCTGGACGGTGGTCTTTCACTCCTTGGAGGCACCTCTTCGTCCTCACTTGGAGAAGATATCCTGATCTCGACTCCTCGAGACTCTGACCTCTTCTCTCTTCTCGCTCTCGATTCTCTCTCCTGCTGGATCCACCTCGACTCTCTCTCATCCTCATCGGAATAGTCCTCTGGTGGTGCTCGCTGGTTGCTTCTACTTCTACCTTTTCCTACGACCTCTTCGTCTTCATCTTCTGGAGTTCGTCCTCTGGGTCTCCTGGAGACGTCCCAGGAAAGGGCATCCTCTCTGTCGTACGCGATGAAGGACATCCTTCGAGGGTCCTGCCGTTTCGATTTGAAGACGATCCTGGGAGCCTCCTCTTCGGGGTCCTCGAGGTCCTCTTTGGTACCGCCTTTTATGTCCTTCTGCCAGTCCCAACCCGTGGAGTCGATCTCGTCCTCGGCGAACTCCTTTGGCCCATTTTTCGTTTCTTCTTCTTCTTCTTCAGGTCCTTTTTCCCCGGATGGCCCCATGACCAGTCCGTCAGTGCACTCCATGATGACGCTCTTCACTTCTTGCATCGGTATGTCGAAGAGCAATGTCAACACGATCGAGAACGCGATCACAGTTCCAAATTCCAGGGGGTCGATCTTAAAAAAAAGATTTTCAAATTTTACAATTCAGGCTGCTCGAACGTCAAATCGCTACGATTCATCGTTATGCTCGTAGCGACCTTAAGGTGATATGAAAGTGGCCTCTAAAAAGTCAATCGTTTATGATACTTTTCTTCCAACTTTACAACGTAAATATATCATCATAAGGAAGCTCCTGACACCCATGAAATTACATTTTTTTTTCATTAAAAAATGTTTAAATGTCTATAAACAAATTTTTTTATTTCAATTTCCTGAGTGTCGGAACCTTCCTTACGGCCTCCGTGTTCACGTTGTGAAATTTAAAACGATTTGATAAACCCAGTTAAAGAAAGTTTCATAAACAAGTCCTCTTTAACGCCACTTTCACATCGCTGTAAGGTAGCGTCATAAGAGTCAATCATTTATAATATTTTTTTTCCGGACTCGGAGCACCGAATCGTATGAAATTTTACCACATAATTGTGAAGGCTCTAAAGAATTTTACCGCATTCATTCTAATAGAATGCCCTAACAAGGGTTTCATATTCACATGGTAAGTTTTCAAATGATTCGGTACACTCAGACTTCACTTTCGCATCACCTTAACCCTTTTAGTGCAGAAGTCATTAGCACTTGTAAAACAACAATACATCATTGGTCCGCACTAAAAGGGTTAAGGAACCTGAAGAGTCAATGGAAGGGAATTTTTCCTACTTCGAGGTCTACTTACGATTGAGTAAATATTGAACTCGGTTGAGTATCTCGTGGTCCCGACATTGTAAAAGAACACCGCGAACTGGGTAAGATAAACCGCGTAGGAGATCCTGCTGAAGACCACCAGCCAGTGACTGGAGAGAAGATCGTTGAGGAAACCTAAAAAGGTGTCTAATGTTAATATCAGAGCTATCTAGATTAAGAATAGAGACTAGAATCAACAACAAAGGCTCAATGTATTGTATAATAATAGCTGTAAGTTTATGAAATATAATTTTTGTACTCCTTGATGACGTGAGACATGTATCAAATGCGAAGTTGGGATAGAGAAGAGGTGGTTGAGGAGGTTGTTGATTAACCCTTAGAACACGGAGGCATTTCGACATATGGGCGAAATTCGTCTGACCGTGCAGGGAATATTGGACCAAACGTCGGGCGCCTTTAGGCGCTCTTAGTAGCCAAAGGGTTGGGATAGAGAAGAGGAACGCCACGAGGAGGTTGATGATGATGAGGAGGGAAGACTTTTGGGGGCATATCTGACGTCTGACCTCCGTTATTGATGAAACAGGCGAATATCAGCCGTGGGGAGATACATGAATGCGAGATTAACCCATTGAACCCCTTTTCGACATATGGGCGAAATTCCTCTGACCGTGCAGGGAATATTGGACCAAACGTCGGGCGCCTCTAGACGCTTTTAGTAGCCAAATGGTTAGGATGGAGAAGACGAACGCCACGAGGAGGTTGATGATGATGAGGAGGGAAGACTTTTGGGGGTTTATCTAACGTCAGACCTCCGTTATTGGTGAAACAGGCGAATATCAGCCAGCACAGTGCCAAAGCCCAGGACACTGGTGAGATCACGGCGTAATGGGTCGCCTCTTCGGCATCGTACACGTAATCTCTTCTGGCGAGCTTCCAAGGTGAGAACAGTGACCAGGACCCCAAGGCCAGCGCAATAATCCATCCCGTGACCACGAGCGCCTGAAACGAGACGACAACTCCATTCTCCAATTCCTCGAAGCAATTCGAGCCAAGAGAAGTCATAAAAAGAGATGCCAAAAGTGTCCGGGACACGTCACCTTGTGGATCTTCAGGTTCCTCCCCGTGTACTGCAACAGGACCCCGAGTCCAACTCCAAAAAGATATGGAGTCGCTCTGTGCAGTGACAATGCGTACGTCATATTCGCAGTCTTATAAAGATGCCTGGCCCTGAAATGCGAGACAATGAGAGGCCTGAGGACATATTTAAATACGGGTACATGAAATAGAAATTGAACACGGAGAAAAGTAGACGGCTTAAGTACCCCGATCACCTAACAGGACATATTCCCTGGGGAATTACGTAGTTTATTAATTTTTTCCTCATTTCTTCAGGGTCCGGATTAGATTTCTACGCGCCAAAATTACATTTGCATACATCAAAGACGACGCCAACATCAGAAATAGTTGTAGGGAAGAAGTTCATTAAGGAAGAAACCTTCCTAAACTACGCATTGTTGGCACGTTCGAGCAAATGAGCGATGTCGTAGGTAAAAAATAATACTGCGACCAGGGATAGAATTTCTATTGCATTTGTTGAAGTAGGATCTCTTGTTAGGACTGTTAATAAATTTTTCTGCGCGAGGGTTTCGTCCTGGTAGGTGATCGAGCCAGGTGGTACCACACTCAGGAGTGATGTTTCCTCCGTGGACTCACGTCATCCCGTGGAAAATCACGAGTGAGAGGGAATTGTTCATCGTGGCGAAGTATCGGAAGGTGGCCGACAATTGGAGCAGGAAGAATATCACGAGGATCCCGAGGACGGGTCTGCAGAACAAGAAGAAGACCAACATCGGCGCCAGCAAGCTCAGCTGCATGTCCAGTGCGAGCTGATGAGTGTGTGTGGCGCACTAAAAGGAGACAAGGGATGAAATCCCACCCCCAGGTCCTGAAGACTATCTTGAGGAGGGACATTGGACTTGTTACCATTTCCTCAAAGGGAAAGAAATTTTGGATGTATAGCAGATTCGTCCAGAAATTCTTCTTGCACAGATCAGCATTGGTCGTGATGACACTGTGCCACTGGGGACCGTTTCCAATGTGCTCCATGACGTATCCGTACCAAAAGACGACCACGACGAGGGCAGGAGTGAGTCTGAAATCCGAAAAACGAGAAGAAATCCACCTTGAAGGATCCATTCAATTCTCAGGAAAATCGACGCGCGTTAGAAGTCATACCATTAGATCAAAGGGAATTATTAAATGGTATACATAACACCTCAAGAAATCCCGGCACTCTTCTGCTGAATCCAAGTTCTAACATCTGATTCTCCATTACACCGTATCATAAGAAGTTTCATTAATAAGAAATGATTATTGTCGAGGGGTTATTCGTTTTCCGAGGCCGCAGGGTATTACCTGATGTACCTCGCGACGAATCGGCAAAACCACCTGATCTCACCGCGGTTCTTCAAGTCCTTCGCCATGTTGTACGCTGAGAGGACGCCGCTGAGGAGCAAGAAGCAATCCGTGTAAACCAAGGAGACTCTCAGGACGGAGGTGAGCGGACTGTTCGCAACCTGTTCACCAAGACGACGTAGTCGAGGACAATTAAAGATCATCGCCGGACACACCCTGAAGAGCTTTCCGTACCTCGGTCAACCGGGCACGGTTGGCAAACGGTATCCTGGAGATGGGGATGAGCCTATGGGCGACATAAAGGACGACAGTAGAAATGGCCCTGATTCCATGGATGCAGCTGATCTCGTCGGTGACTTCGGCATCGGTCTGCATCAAGGTCTTCGTGGTCCTCTTCAAGGAAAAGGCCATGATTATCCTCTCCGAATAAGTCCCTGGAAAGGGAAGTGCGTAAGCGTTTCTTCGATTATGGTCTTCCTGATTTTGGAGGTACCTTTTCCTTCCAAGGTCAGGCAATGGTCCCGCAGCGTCGCCACGAAGACCAGACAGACGGCCACGGCGTAAAAGTATCTGCAAGATAGACCAGGGAAGCTATTTCGATATCGTGGAAAGAGCGGAATTAATCTAGTCCAAGGCCAAGGCTCGATCCCCTCCCTGAGGATCCCTTCTTGAGCAACGAGGACAGTGCTCCCTCCGCGACCTCGAACCAGCTATTCTGGTACCACTGGATAAGCCTCCTCGTGGGACCCCATATCCTCGAACCCGAGGTAAGCCTTGGACTTGCTTCCAGAGTCACCATAGAAATCGATTAAATCTACCCCGTAAAAAATGCCAATCCCTTCATCGAGTCGAAATTTCAGCCCTACTTTGGACCCGCGAAAGAAAGAAATCCCAATAAATTCATCCCCAGGAACTCACAGGACTCCTATCGTCTCCTTCGAGTATCCTTGAGGCTTCTGCTTGGTGTAGCACATTTTGGGGTCCACCCCGAAGGTGAATCTCAACCCTGAGGAGCCATTGTAGTCCCGAAGAGATGCTTCCATGGTCGCCCTGGCGTCTTCGGCGGAACATGCCGCTGGAAGGCAGAGTCCCCAGTTGATAGTCGTGAATCTTGGAATGAAGTGTCCCGGCTGAAAGGTTTATTCGTTATTAGTACTTCTTTTTAATAATTACTTCAAGGCTGGTCCACACGATCACGCACTTACGCACTTACGTCTCGCATGCTCCCACGCACGAAGGCCCGACTCTGCATCAGGTTGACGGGGATTTTAGTGTCGGGCCGGGTCGCGTGCACGTCCACCGTGGCTAAGCAATACTTCCCTTGGACCTTGACTGTCTTTTCGTCGATTTTAACACGTGCCGCTACGCCCACGCATTGGTCGAAATCGCCGAGCTGATTCGTATTCCCACGAAGAAGACCCGCCGGGATTTTGGCGCTCGAGTCCAACACTGAAAGACAATGAATTCTGGTCTCGCGACTTCTCTCGGTGGACTTAGGGGATTGTTTTCTCAAATTACGAGCTCTTTTTCATTTACGGTGCCGTAGAAAATTCCAAGAGGTCGACACACGACTACTCACTCTAAACGGCTAGGAACTTTAGTCGCGAGGTTGATAAAGAAATGTGGTGACATGACTGAAAATTAATTATGTCCTTACTTATGCGCTCTGAAAGGTTTGAGTGGTTCCTACGAGGAGGATTACTAAGTCTGTCGAGTTCACAGCTTGTGGGCGCTAAGTTGCGGAATAAATATCATGCCATGTTGGCGCATTTAAGACGATATAATGAACACCATTAATTCAACTACTCACTCTGTAGAGCCCAGAGCTTGTAGCCGCGAAGTTGCCGAAGAAATATCATGCCATGTTGGCGCGTTTAAGAGAATATAATGAACACCATAAATTCAACTACTCACTCTGTAGAGCCCAGAGCTTGTAGCCGCGAAGTTGCCGAAGAAATATCATGCCATGTTGGCGGCAAACCGAATCCTCGACGTCGGTGAAGTTTGGGATGAACGTGGGCACGTGGAGGATCGCCTCGTTCAGCTCGGCCAGAGAAATCGAGGCCTCCGAAGACTTTGGTTTTGGTTTCGGTTTCGGTTTTGCCTCGGCTTCCCTCTCTATTCGAGAAAAAAAAATGATTATATGAGTTAGAACTAGGGAAGAAGAAGAGAGAAGCGTCGAAGCGGGTACTAACTCTGAGGTTGCTTGGCCTCCGTCTTCGGGGTAGTCTTCAAAATCGACTTGGCCTCTGGTTGCTTCGGCTTAGGTACTTCTGGTTGCTTCGGCTTAGGTACTTCTGGTTGCTTCGGCTTAGGTACTTCTGGTTGCTTAGGCTTAGGTGTTTCTGGTTGCTTCGGAGTTTCTTTCGGCTTCGGCACTTCTGGTTGCTTCAGGGTCTCCTTCGGCTTCGGCTTCTCCGGTTGCTTCGGAGCTTCCTTCGGCTTCGACTGTGTACTCGGCATCTGCTCCTCCACCTTCCCGGGTAGGCTCTTCGGCTTCTCTTCGACCTTCTGCACAATTTCTTTAGTCTTCGTTGTCTCTGGCGGTCTCTTCGGGGCTATCGACGCCTCCGGAGGTTTGTCCTTATTCGCTACGTGGACCTTTTCGAGTTTCCTCAGAGGAGCTTCTTTCTTCACAGGAGTTTCCTCAAGTTTTGCAGGCTTCTCCGGTGTCTTTGAGGTCTTCTTCTCCTCTACGGGCTTCACCATCTTTTCCACAGTCCTCAAGACTTTCGTGGGTTTCGTTGGAGTCGTTGGCTTTGGAGCGTCTTCATCGGACTTGCTGTCCGGTAGCATTGTTGTAAAATAGGAGAAGAAGCTCCCTGAAGAGTCCTCGACTTCCTTGTCGTCCTTTCGAGGGGCTCTCCTCTTCGAAGCGTCGTCTTCGTCGTCTTCGTCTTCCTCGTCCTCCTCGTCATCGTCTTCCGAGTCGTCGGCCACTTTCCTAACCGTCCTCGTCATCTTCTCATCTTTCGAGTCTACATGTCTCTTCAAAGGCGTGCGCCTGGGCTCGGGCTTCGATTTTTCTTTCCTAACGTCAGCCTTCTTCGGGGCTTCGTCGTCATCTTCCTCACGATCTTCGCTATCATCCTCATCATCATCTTCGTCATCCTCTTTCTCCCCACTCTTTCCACTATCATCCTCATCCCCTGCCTGACTTTCCTCCGTCCGGTCACGGTCATCATCATCGTCATCAACATCATCCTCATCATCACCCTCATCCTCATCCCCATCGTCATCGCTCTCAACCCCTTCATCCTCGCTACCCTCATCAGCTACATCCTCACTATCGGAGTCGTCCACATCTCCCGTAGCCTCGTCACCCTCATCGTCGTCATCACTACCCTCCTTATCATCATCACCATTCTCATCATCATCGTTATCATCCCCATCATCGTCCTCTATCGTGACTCCATCGTCCTCATCACTATCGTCACCCCCGTCGCTCGCCTCCTCCGGTCCATCCTCGACCCTAACCCCCGCCCCACCGTGCCCCCCGACCTTGACTCCGTAAGAAACCGCCCTGAGGGGCCCCCCTCTCTGCGCACCCCCGCAGTCCTCCCCATGGCAGGCCTTCCGAGCAACAGGTGGTTGCCCCCTTACCACCCCACCTCCCACCCCGGGGCGGACATCCTCCTGCTCCAGACCGGAACTCCTCGCGACCCTCCCCCTCCCCTCCTCCGCCTCAGGGACACTCGCCCCCCTCTGGCGGCACTTCGCCCCCGGCGGCCCGACGCACCGCGCCTGCTCCGCTTCCCGCACCCGGAAGGCGAACCCCGCGTACACCAGGAGCCCGACGACCAGGAGGACGACGCACTTGCCCAGGCCGGGCCCTGCCATGCCCCGGCAGCCTTCACATTGACTCGCACCCTCCTCTGGGCTAGACTGGCCGCGGGCTGGCCGACGCGACTAGCTAGGAGGCCGCGCCAGGCCGCGCCGGGAGAGACCCCTCCGCACCCCCGCCTCCACCCCCGGCCGGAATTGGAGCACGTGGCTCCCGGCCAAGCCGAGCCGAGGGGCTTTATTTAGCGGCCGACTTACTGCCGGCGACGACGCCGCCGCCACGCGGTCAGTTACGTAACCGCGGCGACCGCCGCGCCACACACGGGCCCCTGGGGAACGCTCACGCCCCTGTATCGCGGTTAAGGTGTTATGATAGTGACATACAGGGTTGGGTAAGCGAATACCTTGTGTAATATACCCGAAGAAAACCACGTGTATTACTACGCACAATACGTCCCTAATTTTCCACACAAGTATATTACCCCCTTTTGTTTCTAAATAGATAATAATACATCCAGGTAGAGATTTGATATTAAACGGTGCTAAGTCGGGACTTTTCAACGGTTCTTTCTCCCGTTGATTGGCGAGTTTCTTAGTTACTAGAGGGTTCTACATTATTGTAGTATTGTCCAGACAGTTTTATTTCGCACGTCAGAACCTTCGATCATTCTTGTGCCGACGCTACTTTGGTTCTAGCCTGGGGGAAGTCAAAATGAAAGATCCACGGTCGACCTCCAAGGACCACCGTCGCGTTCAACACGTTAATTAGTAAATTAATAAGGGCCGTAATGTCATTTCTACACCTGGGTGACCAACTAACTAGGAACGGGCCTGCCGGGGAACCCCGGGAGACCTCACCGAGATCACGCCGACCAAAATACACCCGCACATAGGGATGAACCGATACTTGTATCGATACTTATACTCATTACTTGCATCGAGAAACAATATTTACTATGTGTCGAAAAATCTTTTGCACCGTATTCTTCGCACTGATATTTATATAGATTGATAGGTTTTCCTGATAAAAATAAACCATTACTTATGCATCAACCCAATAGATAGATATTACCTCTTGTTACACGTTTTAGAGGTACTTAGAGATATTTCCCCTTTTTTTTAAGAGGGTTCATGTTACTTTTACGCTTTCATCTGCGCCGTCGAACCTTCTCATTACCCTCTTTCTATGTAACGCCAGGAGGACGCCGTTCGGCGCCGGGAACCCTCTCTTCAGGGTGGTCCCTGAAGACCTCGACGTCGCTGTTCCGCCGCAATTGGATCGCGCAATTGGCCCGCGTCATTCGATGCCCGGCTGCGGAATCGCGCTCGACAGGGACGCCTCGTCACGGGCGAAGGCCTACCAGACGGATTCGCTCGACAATCTTGCGCCACGAGGGCTTTACGAGCCACGGGGAATCTCTGGACCCGCGCCAAGCCGCCGCCATCTTGGAGAACAAACGCCATGCCTCTCTTTGCCCGCGGATTTCGAAACTTATAAAAGGAGCTTATAGCAATTTATGGATTTCAATCGTGAAACGCGAAGAACTTCTAAGTACCGATTTACTAATTCTGACAAGTTTCAGGTGACATGAAAGCCACAGCTTACATATATATGTACCTGAGAAACCAAATCGTTAGTGAAAGTATTCTCAAAATTGGGTGTAACGATTTCGTTTTTTTTTTACCACGTGAATATGAAGGCTACAAGGTAGGTCCTGAAAGTCATGAAATTTCATTCTTCATAAAAAAATTATTTATTTATCATGGACCAGAGCCAACATGGCGTGGTCCGTGCACGGAGCCCTTTTGACATAGGGGCGAAATTCATTAATACGTGCAGACGATATTGGACCAAAAGTCGGACACCTTTAGGACCTTTTAGTGGCCAATTAGTTGAAAGGATCGTCGATAAGTTAAAATCGACGAGCTTGCAGTACAATCGGCCATTCGATTGTCGCCATTCATTCCTAAGTAAATCTTTTTCAATTCTCTAACTACAAGCATTCACAGAGCTAGGTCATGTCAGTTGCATTTGGTCGGACTGAGTATAAAATGGAACCTTAATTCGTAGGATGATTGTTTTTTTTTTTTTCTTAAATAATGCATTGCAAAGTTGCGCGAGTCGTTCGACTTTGTTGATTGATAAAAACTATGAGGATTCTATGATTCTTCCGCAGGTGGAGGGTCCCTTGCGGCTGACTCTTCGTCGTCCGACCGAACGAGGTCCCTGCGATATTCATCCTTATCACTTTTCACTCGACGTGTCAGCATCTTCTCTAAGATCATCACCGGGGACTCGAAGAGCATGCTGAAGAAGAGGCCGATCACGATCGACATCACCAGGGAACTCAGGAACGAGGTAAACTGAAAGGAACATCATCTTCATCTCCATTCTGGTATTTGCAAGACCGTAAGAGATCATTCTACTTTGTAACTTATTCGAAAAATAACCTTCAAGGAACACTATTCTTATTTTTTTCTCAAAGTCCTTTTAACTGATGCCATTTCATCTTTCAAAGAAAATTATTCCTCGAGATTCGTACTCTAAGGACACTCATATTGATTATTCATTTTTCAGAATATTTGAACGTACAATGATTAACTTCATTTTTTTTTAGAAAACTGAGAAAAATCTTTAAAAGTGGCTTTTTTCGGTCGTTGAAGAATAATGACCCCTTGGATTTGTTTATAAAAATCGGGTTTTTCAATACTCACCACCAGACTTCTCGAAAAGTACATGGGAGTCCTTCGAGCGGCTACTCGCATACATTGTAAGATAACGTGCACCAAATAAATACAATAGGACAGTCTACTTAGTGGAATAAATATCGGAAGAGACAGGAACTTGCTCACAGGACCTGGAAAAGCATTCGCAAAGAAATGTTAATTTCTCTCGGATGATCGAAAATTTACCCGAGGTTCTTTCAGCGCTGATTTATTTACCGGAGCTTTTCTGCAGACATGCAAAAATGATCCACGCAATGCCAATACCCCATAATGTCCGGGAAGCCACAGGATAAGTAGTTTCCCACACGATGTCGTACTTGTAATCCTTATTTTGGAAAGTCCTGTAAGCCACGGCGCAAATTACGAAGCTCGCCACCGCTAATGACCAACCAAGAGCTGCATACAACTGTAGGCATTAGGATAAGTGATTACTAAAATTACTAAATGGAGAAATTAAAGAGAAACAGTGCCTCCTTAAGGTGATGTGAAAGTGGCATCGAAGAGATTTTCTTTATAAAACTTTTCTTCCACCTGGATTTACCGAATGGTTTGAAACTTTACATCGTGAATAGGGAGCATATAAGGAAGGTCCTAAAACTCATGGAATTTCAATTCTTTTCAAATTTGTTTATAGGTATTTTAAAAATAGTTTATAAAAATTGAAATGTCGGGAGTTTCAGGACCTACCTTAGGGTCTCCATATTCACGTTTTAAAGTATGAAACGATTTGAGACACCCAGTCCGCAGAAAAGTTTTATGAACGATCGAGCTTTCGGATGCGACTTTCACGTCCCCTTAATTTGTTTTAGTAATTACCCGGCGATATTCAAAGTTTTTCGAGAACATGATGTATCCCAGGAGGACTCCTATAAGCCATGGTGTAGCTCTTGTGTAAGACGGGATATAGACGTGCGTCATGGAGTCCATAAAAACACTTATCCTGATAATGAAATGCAAATTACCATTGAAAATAATTAGAGACTGTGTGTGGAGGTAAAAATTAAAGGAACGGCATTCTTACGCAATGTTGGACTCGTAAATGACAGATATATATCGGTTCGCAGAGATTATGGCTGCGGGAATGATTATGGAAGCTACGAAGAAGAGGCCCCAGATCGCTAGGCCGAGTTTTGGCTTTTTTACCATAGGGTAGAAAATCAGCGGCGAAACCCAAAAGAGTTGCATGTCTACCGCCAAGTACCACGTATGGATCAAGCACTGCGAAAAGAGAGAAGCCACTAATTAAGTAACTATATAATTCTTCAATTATGTAATTTTATCATTTCATGCTCCATGATGGAAAACGTTTGCGGATATTCACCGTGTTTTCTGGATGAACGAAATTTTGCACATACAGAAGAATGGTCCACCACTTCTGGTTACATGGTTCTACGAGCATGTCCACTATTTGCTCCCACTTAGCACCAGATCCTAGTCGAGGAACTATGAATATGGTTATGGCTATCAACACAGCAACAGCAGGGGTAAGCCTGTTGAAATGCAAGATAAATAAATAATTCAACGGCTAAGAATAATCCAATTCATCCAAAAATTATTATCCTATGTACCTGACGTAACGGTGGATGTAATAATGAAATACGTTAAACCTGGCGCCCGTGGAGTGTTTTTTAAGGAACAGATAGGAGCCCAAAAATCCACTGATAACGAAAAACGTGTCCACTGCAAACGGGGCCAACAAGAGGTGCAAGGCATTCCAAGTACTCAGCCACTGATAAAAATGAAAAGTGTAAAAAATTAATATTTTTAATCAGAATATCAACGTCCTTCCATTCTGTCCATGTTTATTATTTGCAGCTCTGTATCTTCGCGACTACTCACATCCATAAGGCCGACGAGGTTATCAGTTGCATTTAACACCCCCATGACATATTCGTGGCCGAGAACGATCCAGCACATGCTCAGAATCCTAATACCCGCGAAAATGGTTAACGAATCAGGGTCAGACTTCATGTTCATGATCTTCAGTCCAGTGGTGTACATGGAGAATTTGCTGAACCCTCTCAGTACGTGATTACGAAAATCTCGGGTCCTGTATCTCTGGACGATGTCACAAGCCGTACAAAACACCATGAAGGACACCATGATGCAGAGAAAGGAGCTGAAAATATCGTAATGAAGCTCTTCGACGGCTGCACTGATAAAAACGCCCATGTAAATTTACATACTCAAAGGAAATGATAGCGTTACATTTAATTGAAGCAATGTAATTGAAGCAAAACCACCCTAACAAGGTAAATACACGATGTTACATGTATTCATATATATCTTCTAATTTCTAATTTTCCATGTTACATTGTTCTACGTGATATTTCAGTTAAGAGGTCTGTACAAATGTATGTAAATTTCCATTGAGCTTTATCAGTGTCACGTTATACATTATGGATTAGGGAAATTTAGGGAAATTGATTGGGCTTACAGGGTGAGCTTCTCCCAGATAGACCATGGTGGGGGATCTACTCTGGAGCAGGTTGCAGTGGCTGAAGAAATCCCGAGGTCCTTGAAGAGGTTTGACACCGATATTGTGTCATTTAATAACCGCGCAAGGTCCTGGGCACTACAGGCCGATGGCAAACAAATTGACGAAGTGGGAAGAACCGGTACCGATGAATTGCTCGATGAAATCAGGGAATACATGCAATGTCGGCCTCGGATGCTGATTTTCTCGTTGGCCATGTCCACGGATATGCACTCGTCGAACATGCCGAGGTCGACCAAGTTCCCTATCAGGATGCCTGATTGGATCTTTGAGGACGAGTCGAGCACTAGAAAAATGAGTCATATGAAAAAGACATGTACGAAAATGTTCTGACTTAATGGGCCAAATTGTTATTTATTTCACCATGTAAATATGAAGGCCCTAAGGAGGGTCCTCCTTGCACCCACGAAATTTTATTTTGCTTTAAATTTGTTTATACACATTTTTAATGTTTAATGCGAGGGGGGTTTCACTCGGGAAATCATACATTTATTACAAATTTCTAAATGAACTTAGAATTCGATACGTTAAAACTTTGTGAAAGTGCATGAGAAAATGATTACACATATCTAAGAAATTTATGAAACATTTTATAAATTTGTTGGGAATATGTCAAAATTAGTACACCATGTCTGAATGAAAGTTCCAACAGAAATGTTATAAAATGATAATATATATACATTTGTTTTTTAACAGTACGGTTCATAAAGCCGGACATAACAACGGATTGTTTGAAAGGCGTCGCGGTAAAACGCTGCCGCCATTTCGAGGGAAATCACAGGCAGAAGCGCGTTTCCGGGGGGATGATTAAACAATTGCGATCGAGCGGAGGCGCCGTCGACTTGGTCGGCGTGAAAATTTCCGGAAACTCGAGGGGGGAGTCCGGCGGAAGTGGCTCGTGCAGGTAAAATTAACGAAAATTCGGGGTATTATCGATAAAAGCTCAGGCTGGCCGCGGGCTGGCCGTTTTCCGTGGTGATACGCCAAACGGATGCCCATAAAAGTGTTAATAATGTCCCCGGGGCCGGGCCGCGACGTCCGCCATTGTTATTGCCGTTATTGCGCCGATTGTTGTTGCCGGTTATTGTTATTCGTTATTATCCGCGTGCAGGCGCGTATGCGAATCGATGCGCGAAAGTGCACGCATGAACGGTAATTTACGGCCGGCGGCCTCTGTTTCCCTGGATTACCGTGAGATAAACTGCGTGTCTCCAATGCGATCGACCCGCCATATTGCCCGATACCGATAACCACCGATCACGCCGACAATTTATACCGTTTCTTTCCTCGACCGCGTATTCGCCCCGGCCGGAATTATCTCCGATACGTCAGGTAGCCTGGTTTACTAGTTTTCGAATATCCGAGGTAGACGAATAACGTTAATATTATTATTAAACGAGCCGGAGAGAATCATATTATTAACCTCTCTCATCTGGAAGTCAAATTGGTTTTGGCAAATATTGCGTTTAATCGGTGTGACCTTTCGATGCGATCATTGGAGAAGGGTAGGAAATTAAACATTTTATTATTATCACGAGACGAACTAGAGAGGATTATAATATTAATATGATTTGGCCAAGGGTAAAAGTCGTTTTACTTTGTGGAAACGGTGCAACCTGACGATGTAATCGTTAGAGAAGGAATAGGATAAAAATCAGGTTAGATGTGTTATTGTTAATCACGATTATACTGATACATTCCCGTTTTAATTTATTTAAACTGTGATGTAGGATAATCGTTAGAGAATATAATAGGGTAAAAAGTGAGGTTAGGCTTGGAAAAATAGTAATCTCGAGTTCGCCACACAGGGTGGGATCCGAGCTGGGCGCTTCGCGTCTCGGTAGCAACGGCTCACTTCGCCCCACCCTCCGCGGAGTCGACACTCTGTGTACTCTGCACACTCCTGGGCCGTTTACTCAGGGTGCAGTCCCGCTAGGTTACGGGATCGCGAAATCCAAAGTGACGGGCCAATCGAGCCCTGGCTTCTCCTCCCTTTTACGTCCCCGATATAAATATTACACACACATTTCCTTATCTTTCCGTTCTCTTCCAATATCCTCGTTTTGGCATACAGATTAGTTTCCAATGAACAAGTTTTCTCTACTTTTCCGTTCTACCGAGAAAAAACACGAAAACTAGGAAAAGATAAAATACTCCCAACAGGTATTTGCTTCCATGATATTAAATCAGAGATATGGATAGATTAATAAAATAAATTCATCGCGATTGAGGCTTAATTCACCCCAATCACGGGACGCGTACTAAAGACGTGGATTTATTAAACTGGCAGGGTAAATCATCGTGTGCCATATATACGGAGAAAAGTTTCGTAAACCAGACATCTTTAACGTCACTTTCACGTTATCGGCTGAAATCAGCTGATCTCGTCAGGGGGTACAAATTTCGAGAT